TTAAAGTGCCTTGGGCAAAAAAGTTCAGGGGCAGCATCCAGGCCCTGAGTTCAAGCCCCAGGCCTAGGGGGAGGGAGGGAAGATGAGATGTACCAGGCACTAATGGCTTATACATGCAATCCTACTCAGGAAGCTGAGATCTGAGGATCAAGATCCAAAGCCACCCTAGGCAGATAAATTTGAGAGACTCTTATCTCCAATTAACCTGCAAAAAGCCAGATGTGTGGGTGTGGCTCAAGTGGTCACTCAAGTGGTCGACTGCCAGTATTGAACGCAAAACCCCAACAAGAATACAAGGCCCTGAGTTCAAGCCCTGAAACTGGCACTAAATAAGTCAACAAGTAAATACACAACTTGAAGATGATTCATTAGGAATGTGCTAGGATGTAGAGATATAAGCAATCAAGTGGTAGGATTCCAAAAGGGTCAGGAGAAGTAGAACTCTACAGTGGGTTTTAGAGGAGAGTGTGAGGCATGGAGCCCAGGTCTAGTAAACAGTAGACTTGGGGACTTATGAGGGTAAATTTTTGATTGGGGGGGGGGATTAGTTATAGAAGGGGGAAGGAGGAAAATAAGCTATCAGTGTACTCACCGACATAAGGAATGCCATGCGTCCAGAGGTGCCCCCTCCACTCAGCACCACCAGCCCCCCATCTGGCTCCTGAGGAAGGAAACATGTCTGTTTCACAGGCCCAGCTCAGGAGGAAGGAATCACGTTATTCATTTTGTTGGTAATGGAAATTGATTTGGAGGGAGTCCAAATCCTCCTCCATCACAAACTTGAAAGAGCACAGGCCGTGTGATATAGCAAACCCAAAGACTTCAGTTTGACTCTCATCTCTGATTTAGCTACTTATTCAATCCTTTCCTGATTTTAGGAAGGATGAACAGCCATTTTATCAACTAAATAAAAATATACAATAAAAGCAGCATTGGGCTGGGAAGGTAGCTCAGTGGTAGAGCACTTGCCTTGCGTGCATGAGGCTCTGGGTTCGATTCCTCAGCACCACATAAGCAGAAAAAAAAAAGCCAGAAGTGGCGCTGTGGCTCAAGTGGTAGAGCACTAGCCTGGAGCTGAAGAGCTGAGGGACAGCACCCAGGCCCGGAGTTCAGGCCCACGACCGGACTAACACCCCCCCCCCCCAAAAAAAAGCAGCATTATCTAGGTACATTTGGGCAAGCTACTGTGATTAGCCTGTTTTCATGGTCAATTATGAAGTATTATGCAGTTTTATATCCTGGTGCTGGTGCCTCATGCCTGTAATTCTTAGCTACTCAGAAGGCTGAGATCTGATGATTGAAGTTTGAAGCCAGCCTGGGCAGGAAAGTCCTTGAGACTCTTCTCTCCAATTAACCAATTAAGTGAAGCTGTGGTTTAAGTTGTAAAGTGCTAGCCTTGAGCAAAAACAAAAACAAACAAACAAAACCCCCAGGGACATTGCCCATGACCTGGGTTCAAACCCCAGGACAGGAGCATGCGCGCTCGCATCACACACACACACACACACACACACACACACACACACACATTATTATAATTATTATTGATGGACCAAAAAGAGGGTGTAACAAAGGATGGAGAACAAAAGAGAAGGAGAGAGAGAGGCAGGCAGGCAGGCAGACAGATAGACAGGAGAACACAAGCCAGAAGCAAATAGGAGATTGTTACCTTCAGCACTTCCTGAACTTTCCCAGCCACTTGCATCATGGTGGTCAGAACTGATTCACTGTACAGTCGCTGTAGGAAACAGGCAGGACTCAGAAGCAAGAAAAGCAGGATGGTTGATTGGGATGGGAGAGGAGAGGACTATCGGGGCTTCCAAAATCAGGAGCCATGGTCTAGGAGAGGAGAGGTGTGGGGGGAATGGGGTTTGCAGTGTGCAGGGGACCGGGCTGAGTCACCTGGTATGCAGGTATGGCTTGCCCTTCCTCCTGGAAGATCTCAGCATCACACTGCCCCAGCAATTCAACAATTTTCTTAGCATCTGCTTTGTCCAAGTCCCGAGTCAGTGGATTTGACTTTTCTGTGATTGGTACAGCTGCCTCATACCCAGATAACTAGAAAAGAGGGGGGAACATGATTGGGGGCAGGAAGCCAAAGGCTGTTTCATGCTTCCTGAACCGGAGAGAGTGACGGGAGGCACATTGTTTGGACACTTGCCACCACTACACCACCGCTCACATACCACAGCCTTAGTACGCACTTGGGAAGGAAGACCATGAGAGAGGCTAAGAAGGAGGAAGGAGGAAGCAGAGACCTAGAGTGAAAAGAAACCTAACAAACAAAATGACTCTAGGAATCAAGAAGCAGCAAGTCCAAGCATCGTAGTTCATGACTCTCACCCCAGTTATGTGGGCACTGGGCAAAAACAGGAACTCTACCTGAAAAGTAACTAAAGCAAGATAAGGCTGAGGCTTAGGTAGTAGAGAGCCTGCCTAGCAAGCTCAAGGCCCTGAGTTCAAAGCCCAATTGGTCTCCATTAAGGAGACTGAATCAGGAGGATGATGAGTTCAAAACCAGCTCAGGGTACATCCCTGTCTCAAAAAATAAAACAAACAAAAGAACGGGGGTCTCACCTCCCACTCGCCAGGCTCCGGAGTCTCAATCACATGTTGAAATCGCTTTGTGCCAGGCATGGTCCTGTTGTACTGTGAACACACTGTCCTGTCTGCTTCTTCAGCCACACAAACTCCTCTGGACTCTGCTTCCAGTTGGCAGGGCCTTATCTGAGCCACAGAGATGATTAACCCAAGTACCCAGGCTTCTCTGAGTACCACCCCCCACTAGGGGTCACCAGGACCCCTCTCCCCCAGGCCTCCAGGGAGCTGCCGTCACATCCTGACTTAACAGCCTCTGCTTTGATCCCTAAAGAGAAGGAAAGGAGGTTAATTGTTGTCCTTCAGGCACAGGACTCTCTTCTCTGGAAGGCTTGGAGCCTGGAAGGGTAGAACAACAACTAAGGCCAGTGAGAACCTCTGGGCAAGAGTGCTGTGGAACTTGGATGCTCCAGGTCAGAGATCAAGGTCCTGGGGTCAGTAGAGGTCAGAGGACCCAAGTCATGACTTGATCACATGCTCAACACACATAGTCCCTCCCTGCCCCACTGGCCTATTTTACCCTTAGAAAGGAAGGCCTCAGAAGCTTCAAAGGCCCGAGTGTCCATACACTGAACTGGCTATCACACAGGAAAAACGCTGCAAAAATAGAAGTCCTGCAGAAAGAAGTAGAACCAAAGAATCTGCCCTAAATAACAATGTTAGCCAATATTCATTCTGAGCCAGATAATTTTCACATACAGTATCTCATTTTATACATCAATACCAAAAAAGTCAATCTTGACCACCTCATTTTTCAGGTGATGAAACTGACACAAAGATGTTAAGCTCGTTGCCTAAGATCAGACATGTGGCTGAACTGGAATTCACATCCTATTTCTTGAGATTTCAGATTCAGTCAAAGCATGAAGTAAGTACTTTATATTTACTGAAGGAGTGCAATAACTAGTAAGTTGTTGTAAAATAACAAGCATTCATTCACTTAGTTGTGTAAGATCCCTTATAAAGAGTAAAATAACAAGCATTCATTCACTTAGTTGTGTAAGATCCCTTATAAAGATCCTTCCGCATAAGCAAGGGAACTACACCGCCTGTGGCTTGAGCCTATAATCCCAGCTACTCAGGGGGCTGAGATCTGAGGAGGGTGGTTCAAAGCAAGCCCAGGCAGGAAAGTCTGTGAGAGTCTTCTCTCCAATTAACCACCAAAAAAAACCCAGAAGTGGAGCTGTGGCTCAAGTGGTAGAGCACTAGCCTGGTGTACCAAAATTCAAGGACAATGCCCAGGCCCTGAGTTCAAGCTCCAGAATGCCCCCCTCCACACCACCCCCCATACACATCCTCCCCAGGATTGTTTCCCTTCACAGGTGGGGAAACTGACACAGGTTGGGAACTTGACACAGATTAACCAATTTCTCTAAGAAATTCCACGGAAGTAAATAGAGAGCCAGGGCCACAGGTTTTTGCCCTCTAATTCTCGCTGTAAACCTAACATTCTCTTTTTTTTCTTCTTTTTTTGTCGGTCATGGGGCTTGAACTCGGCCTGGGCGCTGTCCCTGAGCTGAGTCTCCAGGCGCCGGTGGCTCACATCTGTAATCCTAGCTACTCAGGAGGCTGAGATCTGAGGATCCTGGTTCAAAGCCAGCCCAGGCAGGAAAGTCAATGAGACTCTTATCTCCAATTAACCACCAGGAAACTTTAAGTGGCGCTGTGGCTCAAGTGGTAGAGCGCTCGCCTTGAGCTGAAGAGCTGAGGGACAGCACCCAGGCGCAGAGTTCAGGCCCCATGACCGACAAAAAAGAAAAAAAAAAAGTTTCACGTACTTTGCTTCCCCGGGCTGGCTTTAAACTCTGATCCTCAGATCTCAGCCTCCTGAGCAGCTAGGATGACAGGCGCCCGGCCCAGACCAGCATTCTTAATTGCGGCTGCTCCAGCTCCCAGCACGATGCCAGGCACACGGGAGAGGCTCGGCGAATGCGTGCGGGACACGTGAAAGGGGTCGGAGGCGAAGCGGGTTATGAATGGGAAGCCGACTTCCAAGCTGACGCAGTCGACACGAGATTGTCAAAGCGACGAGTCTCTCCATCACGACTTCTCCTGGCCTCGGCCCCTCCCGCCTCCGAGGTGTCGGTCCTCCTCCCAACTTGGCCGATCCCCTCCCGCAAGGAGGGGCTCTCCCGGTGCCCCGGGACCCTAACACACGCCTGCGGCCTTTCCCCGCGGGCCCGCCGGCTCATCGGCTTGAGCGGGAGACAGAGGGGGACGGGGCTGGGTTGGAGGGGGGGGGGGAGGTAGCATTGGGAGGAGGGGCGTGGGAGGAGCCGGGAGAGAACCCGCTTGGGGGTGCGGGAGGGGGAGGGCGGCGCGGCGCGAGCCCCGGCGGGGCGGGGCGGGGCGGGGCGGCCGGCGCGTCCCGGCCCGGCTGCGGCGGAGCGCGCGGGGCCAGCTCTGCGGAAGGCGGCGGCTGCGGGCCGGCTGGCCCGGACGCTCACATTCCGCTGCAGGGACGGGCTCTGGCAGCCGCACTGCCGGTGGTGGGGGGACCCAGGCCGGCACCCAGCTTGCGCGGGCAACGCCCCCCCCATCCCGGCTTTGGGGACAGATCGCGCGGGCCGAGCGCGCTCTGGGGGACCCCCGCAGACCCGCGGCCCGCGCCCGCCGCGCCTCTGCCCTCCCTGCCCGCAGCTCGGCCCGCGCTGCCCGCCTCGCCGGGCCCGCGCAGGGATGGGGTAGGGCAGCACTACGGTCCTGGCGATGGGCCGCCCGCTGGGCGCCGAACAGCCCCCCGAGGCCTGACCGACCGCGAGGACCGAGGGGGGAGAGGTGGGTATGGCCAAGGGGGAACCGCGCACAGGGGGTGCCGGGGTTAGGCTGGGGGCAAGGGAGGAAAAGGCGTTGGGGGGGGGGGGTGGAATGGGCTGCTGGGGTCCCACTGAGCGTTCCGGGCAGCTCGTTGACCTCTCCAACTCCTGCCTCCTTCAGGAGCCCCGCCCGGATGACAAGTGGATGCCCCAGTGCCCACCAGCGGACTCGGTGGGGACCATGGCTTCGCTGATGCCCCTCTCCCCATATCTAAGCCCCACGGTCCTCCTGCTGGTCAGCTGTGACCTGGGCTTCGTGCGAGCAGGTGAGTGCAGAGGATGGCGGGGGGGGGGGGGGGGGTCAGCCGGTGTTGGAGGGGGGTGAAACCTGTTAACACCCTGGCACCCACAGACAGACCTCCTTCTCCTGTGAATGTGACGGTCACTCATCTTAGAGCCAACTCGGCCACGGTGTCCTGGGACGTCCCAGAAGGCAACATCGTCATTGGCTACTCCATTTCTCAGCAAGTATGAATCACCCTGTGCTTCCCCAACCTGTGTCCTTGGAGCTCTGAGCATGCCTTAGCCTTCCCTCGGTTCCCTTCACCCCCTCAACTCCCTCCTGGGGGGGGGGGGGGGAGTCTGATCTTTTTTTTTCCCCCTCTGCTCCCTTGGATGCTCCAGTCTCGGGTTGAGCCTGTGGCCAGGGACTGGGCCAAATCTGTTTTCCTCTCCTATCGTCCCACTGCAGAGGCAGAATGGCCCCGGGCAGCGTGTGATCAGGGAGGTGAACACCACCACGAGAGCCTGTGCGCTGTGGGGCCTGGCTGAAGACAGCGACTACACAGTGCAGGTCAGGAGCATAGGTCTCCGGGGAGAGAGCCCTCCAGGGCCCCGGGTGCACTTTCGAACTCTCAAGGGTTCTGACCGGCTGCCTTCCAACAGTTCCAGCCCAGGTGAGGGTGTGTGTTTGTGGAATCTGTGTCACCTGGCTTTGAACCTCTCATTCATACTCCTTCCCCCTCCCCACCCCCACCCCCCAGGCAAAGCATCAGTCTAGCTTAGATGAATAGAAAGATGATTTAATTCATTGTACTGCCAGAAAAGGAAGGAAAAACAGGTGGGCAGAGGACCAGCTATAGACAAGCTGCTAATGAATCTTCTGGGGGAAGGGCTTTTAGCTTCCTTTCACCCTGCCTCATATCACATCAGCTGCAGCCTGCATGAGTGAGTTCTGTTCGTGCCTCTTGGTTTCTAACCACTTGTCCACCAAAGGCTTCCTCCCTGAGAAGGGCTACCCTACAGCTTCAGGGGTGACCCTCTGATGGGTTTAGCCTGACTCCAATCTCCAGCATCTCCATCCTGCATGTGATATTGCTCTCAAGCAGGCCTCCTATATCCCAGCGTGTGTCTCTTCTCTTCTCAGGTGATATCACAGTGGAGGGGTTGGATGGAGAGCGACCACTGCAGACAGGGGAAGTGGTCATCATTGTTGTGGTGTTGCTCATGTGGGCTGGTAAGAAACTGAGAACTCAGCCGGGTGCCAGTGGCTGATCCTAGCTACTCAGGAGGTTGAGATCTGAGGATCACGGTTCAAAGCCAGCAGGAAAGTCCGTGAGACTCTTATCTCCAATAAACCACTGGAAAACCGGAAGTGGCGCTGTGGCTCAAGCAGTAGAGCACTTGCCTTGAGCTGAAGAACTGAGGGATAGTGCCCAAGCCCAAAGTTCAAGCCCCACGTCCAACCAAAGAAGAAAGAAAGAAAGAAGGAAAGAAAGAAAGAAAGAAAGGCAGGCAGGCAGGCAGAACTTAGGGAGTGGGACTGGGTGAAGATGGGAGATGGTGAAGGAGTCAAGAGAAAAGAGAGTGGGGAGATAGTTGTTGGGGAAGTGTGATCAAGACAAATGCAAAGAGAATGAAAGAAGGCTGCTGAAAGGTGGCAGAGAGAGATTGCATGCACAACAGAAATTCAAAGATTTTCTTCTTGGCTTTTCTAGAATTTGTGTGAGTATCAAGATTAAGGCTTGGGTTGGGGATTTAGCCTAGTAGAAGAGTGCAAAGTCTAGAGTTTGGTCCTCAGCTCTGGGAAAAAAAAAAAAAGGATTAAGGCTCAGGTGGTATTGTTTTCTTTCAGCTGTAATTGGACTATTCTGCCGCCAGTATGACATCATCAAGGACAATGACTCCAACAACAATCCCAAGGAGAAAGGGAAGGGACCCGAACAGAGTCCTCAGGAAAGGCCAGTGGGGACAAGACAGGTGACAGGAGGAGCAGTGAGGGTGGGAAGGGTAATGGAGGCAACGGAGCACTCAGGGGATGGGAAAAGACCAAAGAGGGCCAGAAAGAGGGAGAAAGGAAAAGCTGGGATGGAGGAAACCAGAGAGGAGCCACCGTGGCACCTATTACCTTGGTAGAATTAGAGACCCAGGCTGTTTTCTTTCTTTTGCAGAAAAAGTCACCATCCATCAACACCATTGACGTTTGAACAAACCAGAAGAGAAATGCACTAACAAGCTGGGGATAGGGATGGGGTCAGGGAGAGCCTAAGATGGTGATCTGTTCAAGACTCCCCAAGAGTACTGCACTCCCACAATCTCAGGCTGGTACCCATCCTCTTTTTCCACTGTGAGCAGGGCCAGAAGGTAGGTCTGTTAGGGACTGCATCCCTGGACCTAGAAGTGGATGTCAGATGGAATAGCTCCCCTCACCCCCCCAGGTCCAGGGGAAGTCACTTGTTCAACCTTATCCCGTTAGGTCCCACAAAGGGGCCCCATTTCACCTACATCAGGACTCTTGGCATCCCCAGATGTCCCCATGTCTTGCCTCTGGGCCTCAGAGAGGGTGGGTACTTGCCCTCCTCCAGTGAATAAGAGGAATTGCCTGGGCCTGGGGGCAGATGCTGCACTGCACTACTCCAAAGTCTTCCACGGAGCCTCTGGTGCTCCCCTGTCACTTGGCAGCCCCTCCAGCTGCTGGTGATCTCACCCCTCAGACATTTTTCCAATAAAGGTTCTTGGACAAACTGGAGCTGACTCTATGGTATGCTGAAGCCATCTCCCCACCTGTCTTTCCCTAGACTTTCCAAAGGCCCCTCACACCACCAACAACTTACAGAAGCAAACTCATTGTCAGGTATTTGTGTCAATGCATCAGCCTGAAGTAAGCGGAGATGGTTTAGGAAGAAGGGACATAGAAAACTGGAGCCCTAGTTTCTTTTACTTGTTGAGGAGGAGGGAGATGAGAAGAAAGATGTTAAGTTCGTCCCATGGAAAACCAAGTTGTAGCACATGAGAAGGCCAGTAGCTTTTATTTTTTTAATCTTTACTGCTTACTTCATTGGCCCAGCTCTTCATCAATAATTCTGACTCCTCTATCAACCTGGGCAAATGGTCAGAAAAGGAATGAGGAGCGTCTTGGGAACTCAGGAAACAGCAGCTACACTAATGGATCCCATTGTGTCGTGTGCTCTTATCTTGTGCATTCTTGTGTCTCTTTTCCCTGCTTTTATTTTCCCTTTCACGTTGCCTCTCTGTCTTTCTGTTCAGTCAAACTCAATAATAATTGTAATGCATAAATGAATTTATGTTCACATTCTGTCAACACGTCCAGAGGAAGATTCTGAAAATAAAACTGAGGGGTTGGGACTCCCCTGACAAAAGGATTATAATTTGAGCTCTGAGACCTATTTGTTTCCTGTGGAAATAGAGACTGCCCTTTACTCTTTCCTAATTCCCAAGAGGGAGCTGGTTGACAGTGAGAGAAATACCTATTTACTTTAACAACCACTGCAAAAGAGAGGCTACAGGACACAGGATCTGGAGAACACATGCTACACTCTCCAGAGGTCTTCTCAACCTTAGATCATTCAATAAGAGGCTTGCAAATAACTGTTAGTTTTTTTGTTTTGTTTTTCCGGTCATGGGGCTTGAACTCTGGGCCCGGGCGCTGTCCCTGAGCTCTTCAGCTCAAGGTGAGTGCTCTACCACTTGAGCCACAGCACCACTTCCCGTTTTCTGGTGGTTTACTGGAGATAAGAGTCTCATGGACTTTCATGCCTGGGCAAGATTTGAACCACTATCCTCAGATCTCAGCCTCCCAAATAGTTAGGATTACAGGTGTGAGCCACTGGGGCCCAGCTTTTTGTTGTTGTTGTTGTTGTTTTTGCATTTAACCTCTCTGGTATGTTACAACCAAAAATTCTGAAAGGAACCCCAATCCAAAGAAAAAACGAGACTAGTCTCAATCAAGTTCTAACCCCAGGAATCACAAGACTTAAATCAGGTGAGCCAGACTCTGGTCTGTCCTTGGCTCTGACCAATAAAATCATCCTGATCTAAGCAAGCAGTCTTAAACTCACCATTCATTATCCAATGTCCAAGTAGGGACAATTAGATAATCCTATGTTAGTGGTTCTAAAACTCTCCTTAGACTCAGAAAATCATTCTTGGACAGGAGTGTTACAAGGAGCATTCTGGCATGGAAATAGTGAGCTAAAACATAAGAAGAAAGATAAAGAGAACTCAAATTACCAGCTCAGGGTTGAATCCCAAACAACTTTTGTGTTAACTTGTTAGCTTGTGCTAACTTGGACAACTGGCCCTACTAATCTTGGCTCTTTTGTTATATAAAATGGGACTAATAACGATATGCCTTCAAAAAGTGTTTTGACATTAAACAATACAAGGCGTGCATAACACTTTGCATACTGCCCCGCAGACAGATACAGAGTATCCACTCGATCTCTCCGTATTAGCTTTGTGGTCCCAAGCAAGTCATACAACATATTTGCCCTCCTTCCTCCCACAGTTGGAAGCCTTTAAAGAGAGTGCACTCCATCACCCAAGGGCTAGAGAGATTTAGGATTTTCCTCCTGTAGGTCCTGGAACGTGCCAAAGACTTGTGGGCGAGGCTTGGTCTGGGGTTTGCATACAGCCGCGTGATTGGCCAAGGAGAGGATTCAACAAGCCCTCTGGAGGTCCGCCTTATATCGCACTGCGCTTGCGCACGTCCTGTTTGCTCCGCAGCGAACCTACGACGTGACCCTGGTGACGTGTGTTGTGCTCCCGTCGCGTGTGCGTCAGCGACTCGCGCCGCCGCTGCTTGGCGGGTTGTCCGGGTAACCGCGCGAGTCGTCGGCGTCTGGTAGCATCTGAGAGACAGGTGTGCGTCATGCAGTTGAAGCACCTGAGGACCCTGCTGAGCCCTCAGGTGAGGAGTCGGGTGCCTCTTTCCTCCCGCAGCCGCCGAGCGTTCCAAGAAAAGTGAGGGAACCGAAGTTTACATTGGAGGGCGTCCACTGTGTGCTAACACTGAAAGATTACAGTCAGGATCCGGACTCTCCTCGGTGGACCCCAATCTCAGTAGGCGAAATTGACCACTAATGACCGTAATGTTCATTACATTCCATCTAGCAGTCGAGTACCGGGCCCCGTGACTTTCCCTGCCTTCAAGAGCCTCCGAGGGAGAGACGCACCTGTGGGCAACGAGCATCAATCTAGAGAATGGAATAAGCTCTTGGGGTGCAAGCCCTAAAGAGGGAGGGAAGAAGACTGAATCTTCATTCTGATGAAAACCCATCACCAGATTCCAAAGATCTGGGCACTAGGAGAGGACCTGGAACAGGGTGCAGAAAGGGTGGGCTCTGAAGGTAGAACAGAATACAAGTCCTCCCTAGCTCCACCACTAATTTGACCGTAAGAACCTGACGTGTCTCTGAGCGCTCTACCCTGTAGCAATTTTATGAGACTTGGGGAAAAAATGAAATGATTTTTTAAAAATCGTTAAGTGAAAAGCAGTATGAAAATTGATGAAGAAGGGATAGCATTCGAAATTACCTAGCTAATAAAAATATCTACCATGATTAAGTGTATAATATATTACCAGGGCAGTATAATTAAAGATGTTAGGTCTGTGATTTATGGAGTTAGACAACATGAACTTAAGTTTTGGTTCTGCAGCTTACAAATTGTGTATGTAAATGTAGGTAAATTACTTAACTCTTTGGTGCCTTAAAGTTTCCCCATCTTTAAAGGAGGCACCTCCAAATTATGAGATAAATGAGATAATACATGTAAAGCACGCATCAAAATGCCTATTCTAAGGTGACTGATTGTTAAAGGTTAGCTGCTATTATTCTAATCCTACCTAATTTAGTCCTTATGACAGTCCAGTGCAATGTAACCTGTTTGAAAAAAGGACCATTAGTTGATTATGGGACTCAACAAATGAGAATGTGGTATTTTGAGAACAGAACAAAATCCGAACAAAAGAGTTGTGCTCCTTGCTTCAAACGCTGCCCCAGAAGTCTCTTAATTTTAAAATTTCCTTGCCTTAATGGAAAAATTGGAACTGGTATTCTTCAGTTTCTCAAAATAAGATGATGTCATGTTGCAGGAAGGGCCAGATACCCAAGGTTGGGCACTGCTATGAAGGAAGATGATTAGTCAAGGTGGATGACCTCTCAATCCTTTTAGCCTAATTTCATGGAGGATAATAGGATGGCACTGTGGTGGTATAACTATTTTCTGCTCTAGATTGAGGATTTGGGCAAAAAGCCTTTTGACTTCTGACTTTGGAGCTAAGTGGATTAAGAGTTAAATGTGACAATGTCTTAAGTCAGTGTTAGACCACAAGTAATTAATCAAATAATTGGAATGGAAGCTAAAAGTTTTCATTTCAAGAGAGAAAACCTTGAGAGCATGACTCAGGTGGTAGGATACAAGCCTAGGAAGTGTGAGGACCTAAATTCAACCCCTCGTCAGGAAAGTGGGGGTGGGGAGAGCAAAACCATAGAGGACTGGAGTTTGGTGGTAAGAAGGACAGCCATATAAAAATAATTCATTACGTTATGATCACTTCTAACTTGGACTTCTAAGAAGTGGGGAGTTAAGGCATTATTCATCTTAAGTCTCAGCTCTGCTTTACTCCCTATCTCAAACTTTCACTGTCTCTCCTTTCCTGCAAAATAAGTCAATACTCCTTATCCTGGCTTCAAAGACCCTTCCTGAGCTGGCCCTAATCAGTTTTTCCTGCCCTACCTCCTTTGTTCTATTCACCAGGCAGTTTCAGCTAAACTGAATAACTCTTGACTTGAACTTTTTTTTTTTTTGACACTTTCTTGACCTATTTTAGCTCTGGCTAATTCTACCCCAGGTAACTTCCCACTGGCACCTATTCTTCAAAGCTTAGTTATGATCACTTAGGCATAAAATTCTTGTGGGCTTCTCCAGATTATTATCTCACTTTGTATGTACTTCTCATGTGAGACTTCAACTTTGTACCATCTTATTAGGTACTGAAAAGGATCTGTTTTACTTCTTGTTTCTCTTTCAGTTCCTGCCCAGGTCTCCTTTCTTCAGTACCATATTAACTATTCACATATAAACTACTTGAAAAGATTAATTGAATGAATTACTAAAAACTAAAATGTGTCCAGCTGGGAAGGTGGCTCAGTGATAGAGCTTACCTTGCATGCATGAGGCCCTGGGTTTGATTCCTCAGCACCACATAAGCAAAAAAAGCCGGAAGTGGTGCTGTGGCTCAAGTGGTAGAGCACTAGCCTTGAGCCAAACTGCTGAGGACCAGCACCCAGGCCCAGAGTTCAGGCCCCACGACTGACATAAAAAAATAAATAAAAATAAATAAATAAATAATAAATGTGTTCAGCCAATTGAGTTCATTTAAGTATCAGGCCTGGGATATAAGAGAACAAGAAGGTCATTTCAAGGATATATTGGTACATTTTTTTTTTTTGAGGGGGGGTCCGGTCGTGGGGCCTAAACTCTGGGCCTGAGTGCTGTCCCTCAGCAATTCAGCTCAAGGCTAGTGCTCTACCACTTGAGCCACAGCACCACTCCTGGCTTTTTTTTTTTTTTTGCTTATGTGGTGCTGAGGAATCGAACCCAGGGCCTCAGGCATGCAAGGCAAGTGCTCTACCACGGAGCCACC